GGATTTCAAAAATTACCAATATTTTAAACACCCACACTTTATTTATTGAGAACAGAGGTGCTCCAAAGCAATGAAAATATGTGTATGTCATCTAAGGTGAAATCCATAAAGAATCATCAGGTAAACATAATTTGTGAGTTGTTTTAAAGATGGAATCATAGTATAGGCATTTTTATACACTCACTACAATTTCACCATAAACAGAATTTTATTTCTAAATATGTATTTTAAAATGTATGGAAATGTTATGCAATCGTATCCTGCTCATAGTCATATAGCACTTTTAGTCTGAAGCAGGTATGTTTATCATTGTTCACAGACACCACTGTTGAGATGATACCATTTAGGGGGCTGGGTGTGCAAAAACATAATCAGTAGAGTGATTTTTTTTGCATGTCCTTAGGTATAGCATACAAAGATATTCTCAATTTAAAGAGGAAAGTAAAATGAGTATAACAATTTATCCAGGGAAAGAAAGGTCTAATATATCACATTTTTATGTCTATTGGTCATTGTTGGAAATAAACAAACCAATGATATATAAATATCAGTTAGAAAATAAGGTTTGAAATCATTAACCCAGACTTTCAAAACCTTATTAAGGACAAATTCTATCTCAAAATTACTATAGATAAATAAATAAATAAAACATGTTTAGTAATATCACATAAGGAAGTTGTGATGTCCTTTTGATGAATATCTGTGAGAATATATTGAGGTTTGTTGTGTCTGATGAGAGTAGGTTACTACTGACCACAAACAAATATATGAGTGAGACGATCTTCAACTCTCCCTTCTAAAATTTTATTTCTAGAATAATTCCCCAATAACACTTGACTTCAAAATTCAGACTTTAACCATTCCCAACTCTTTATGTGGTCTTCAATTTTATATTCCTTACCATTTCAGTCATCTGTCTTAAGTTTTAATCATGTATGCTGGTTACAAGGGAGCATGAGGTCAAGGAGCACCTGAAGAATCAAAAATGCCATGTGGTATGAGCTGGTCATTTAGAGTTTTTCTTCACCTGACCAGGTTCCTCCCCTTTCCGAAGTGTCTTCTTTGCTAGATATCGGCTTGAGATAAATGACCAGAGAGTTCACCAACATTCCGATCCTATTATATGGAGCATCTCATCTTTTCAGCATCTCCTGCTGAGTCTGGGAAATGGTACTGAAGGGACAGTTCCCAGTGTTTTAAGTGGTTTCAGTAAGCGCTCCCAGAAGCTAGCACCCATCCTCTCTCTGCTACAAACACCCATTCACAAAATCAGAGGATGGAACTACAGTCAGCCTTAATTCCTTGGGAATTTAGTTAGACTGATGTTGAAACACACCCACCTTCCTAAGCGTATAATTATTTGTGGGTGGAGGGCTACCAGGGAGGGTAATACAAGAGAATAGGGGGGAGGGGAAAAAACAAAGTAAAAGAAGATTTTGTCCTGACTTATAAAAATATTTTCATCATCTTCCCCCCTCTCATTTTCCTACTCCGGAGAATGACGGAGTTCAAGGCAAGGTAATGATTCAGGAAATGGAGATAGGATTCTTCAACCTAGAAATGATCAGAGCAATTTATTTAAAGTTAAATACTCCTCTTCCTAGGAACCTAGCATGATTCAGATTTAAAGGCGCCTGTACTCCATCATAACATGCACATGCAAACAGTTGCCTCCAAAGATTTAATAAATAAATAAATAAATAAATAAACCGGTCCGATTCTCTTCTTCCTGTCCTCTAACCTACAGAGGAAGGTGTAGTGAAACACTCATAACCTGTGAAAGTATGAATAGACACTCTAAACCCAGTGGCCAATTCCCTACAGGCCTGAACTCTTCCCTGCCACTCCTCACCATTCGTGACTCTGCAAGACAGAGATTTAGACGTGTGTGTGGGAGTGAGTATGAGGTAAAGGCGAGACAAGAGTGCGCTCTCCACATGGATAAGCCAGCATCTCCTTGATTCATAGCTTGCATTCGTTCATTCATATGTATGCAATGGCTAAATATTTGATTAGAGGTAGAATAGTTATACTAATCACTTTTTTTATGGGCACACCTTAAAATAGAGTGTTTATAAATTGCAAGTGTGAAAAAGATTCCAAGTGCAGTATCTAAGCCTCGAACCCCTTCTACCCTTTCCCCCTCATCCTCACCTCCATGCCCCAAAGAGGGAAAGCTTGCAGCAGATTGTAAAGGGATTTGAGTCTGCAGCTAGAGAGAAGGGGATTAGGACAGAGAAGTGCAAGTTAAATTGTGCTGCACATAAAAAAATGGGCGGATTGGTCTCCAGATCGAGAGGCTGGTACCACCTTCCTTTCTAAAATAAAATCTCTCTGGCATGAAGTCACCGCCTATTTCACATCCGGTTTGCCTTGGGACGTATTACTACTGT